TTATGATTTAATAATTTTACAATCTGGTTTTATGAAGTGGTTTTGTGAGGTGTATTGCAACAGCGTCCTGGCAAGGCCTCATGGTCTACAGTGAACCCTTCAAATATGGAATTGTACAATTGATATGGAATTTATCAGGTTGCCCATGTGGTTGTGGCAGTGGTGGTGTTTTTAATTTTTAGGCCTGATATTTACTAGGCAGAGTTAGTGACTTTCTGAATGAGAAGGGGGGTTAGGTAAGAGGACTGGGAGTGGCACTCCTGGAAAGATTGATGTGGCGTATTGCTAGGGGAAAAGAATGATGCCTTGCATAAAAGATGACATGCTTTAAACTCACTCACAGTTGAGGGAAGGAATCTGGCAGTCTTTGCTGAAATCATCATGACAAAAGATTGGTAAAATTCTAGGCCTCATTAGAAAGTTTTGGGAATGTTATATTTGACTTTCTTTCATATAAAATGTGGTTTTGCATCCACATGAAATACCACATATGGATGTTAAAGATGTAAAGAAGATCAGGGAACTGCTAGGGAAAGGAAAGTAGAATAATGCAGGGTCTGGGATAAAGTTTTGTATGATAATAAACTAAAAATAGAGTGTTCCTTAGGGTAGAGAGAGGAAAGCTATTAGGAAATAGGATTGTAGGTTAAGAATTTTGATGGGAATGGAAAAATGTGAGTGTTAGTCTGATCACTTGTATGTAAAATGATAATCTAATTAATGAAAAGTTTTTTAAGGCGTAAAATGAAGCCTTAGTAGTCTTTATGATACCATTGTCTTGTTCAGTGTCTTGTTTTGGGTACATGGATAGTGTTTAATTATTTTATCAACACTTTGATCTTTTGTATAAAAAAGTAACTAGTAATCTAACAATGGTATGTGTTGTTATGGTCAGTTTACTCAAAGTAGCTTAATTTGAGGAAACATATAATATGATCATGATATGTTGCCAGATTTCCAATGCTGCATTGTACATTCCATTCAGAAAGCCTGCCTGCGCATAGCTCAGCAGGAATGGGTTTTTCCAAAAGGAGGAAAAATGACAGGCTTGCTTAAAATAGTCATTAAAGCATCTAGAGCACCCTCTCCTGGCAGCCAGTGAATTGCACCTTAAATATACAGGGTATTTCATGTTTCCTTAATGAATTGATAACCTTTCTACAGTATTTTTTGCTCTCATGAAAGATACACCCTGCATTAAATTAAAAGTTTAAAAAAACAATTTTTTTATAAAAATTGTTGGTGTTATCATCATTATAATTCCAGAATTACTCTAGTTTGGGAGTGCATTCCTTTTTCTACCCTCCTGAAAAGTTTCCCAGCAAAAACAAAGAGAAAACTATAGAACCATATATTTCTGTTAGAAGGTGTCTTTTATGATCCAGTAATATAAAAATTCAGAAAAAAGAGTCACGAAGGAACAGCATATATGTGGATTCCACAGAGCAGGTATAAGGATGGGTGGCAAAGGAGTAAAGGGTTGGTTTCCTCAGTAGGAGGGACAGCTTACATTGATTTCAGTGGTTAAATATTTTTTCATGTGAAATAGCCAGTGTTAACTTTTTCTTTATATTTTAAGAAGAAATTTCATGAAGTTTAAAATTGGAAAGAAATAAACTGGACTGATTAAAAAATTTTATATTTAAACGTTGAGACTGGCTTTGTGCAAGTAGGGACTCTTAGATAAGAGGGACATTTTATTACCATGATGTGTAAGTCTTATTGTTTTCAGTGTCATCATCTGTTTAGACAGTAGAGTATTTGAGTGTTTAAAAGAATCAGTGTATAGGTACCTTATTACCCTCCAGCCAGTTCTGATGGCTGTGTTTTATCTTCAAGGCCTACAGGGCGGCCATGCAGACGCAGTGGAGCTGGATCTTACAGCTGTGCCAGTGTGTGGAGCAGCACATAAAGGAGAACACGGCATATTTCGAGGTCTGTGAATAAAGTCATAACTTCCGTAGATGGTATTGTGATTTTGGCTGACTTGCAGAAATTTTCTTCATAATTTATTGTTAAGATATAGAAACATATTATTTAATGTGCCAGGGAAGTAAATGGAAATGTTTTCTTTATAGGATATAAGGGTTAGTTTCATGTTCTATAAGATCAATTGAAGCATTCTATTAAGGAAGAAATCCTTTAAAAATCTGTTCAGGTATCATAAAATGTTTATTCTACGGATGTGTCTCTTATTCAGGAAATGTTTTCATCAGAGAGAGTCAACCAAATGAGCTCTTTGTTTTATTTTTAAGAGTTTTTATAGTATTCCTGGAATTATACCCCTACCTGAAAATTGTTTGAACCCTAAAGTAAAATGGACGTTTAATCAAAATAATATAGAGCCAGAATATAATATACATATAAACTTTGGACACTTACTATTCATTCATAGCCTTCCAAGTTCAAGGGTTGTTGTTTGGTTCAAGGAAGGATGGGGCTATCAAGTTGTCTTGTGCTTTTATTCTGTTCTCACTAATGGGGGGCACACACAGGGCCCTGATATCTGAACTTGACAACTCTGTGCTTTACTGGCATTTACCAGATTTCATCTTTTCTTAGTTTTTCAATGATGCCAAAGAAGCCACTGATTACTTAAGGAATCTCAAAGATGCTATTCAGCGGAAGTACAGCTGTGATCGATCAAGCAGCATTCACAAGCTGGAAGACCTTGTTCAGGAATCAATGGTACTAATACAAAAACTTATGCATTTTATCAATAATATATAATAGTGATTGGATTTGTTTTTTATTATATTTTTATGTGTATAGAACTTTAGATTTTATTGGCACTCTTGGTATTTCCACCTCATTTAATTAAGCATTTAAGCATTCAGTTTTAGTATTTTTTTGGTAACAAATATAACAATCGTGTTTTTGTGTGATAGCTTTGATATTTGATAGCCTTGTGATTTGGTTTCACAGTGCTCTGTTGGTGTGTGTGTTTAGCCATTCATTCCGCAAATCAGCTTCTGAAGTACTTTCTATAGCCTGGGCGCTATTTTAGGTTCTAGAGATACAGCATGGAACAAAGCAGATAAGAATCTCTACTCTGATGGTGCTAATTATGCTAGAGGGGGAGCTAGACAATAAGCGGGATAAATAAGTAAAATATATGCAATGTGTTAGATAGTGGTAAATGCTAAAGAGGAAAAGAAACAGCCAAACAGACAAAATAAAGGCAGAGGGATGCAAGAGGGGCAGGGGAGTGATAGAAGGATTAGACCAGATGATCAGGGAAGATTTTTCTGATGAAGTTTCATTTGTGTAAAGCCCTGAAGGAATGGAGAGTGCAAGTCTTATTTTCAAAAATCCATCACTTTTATTACTTAGGAAGAGAAAGAAGAACTTCTGCAGTACAAAAGCACAGTGGCAACCTTGATGGGGAAAGCAAAAACAATAATTCAGCTGAAGCCGAGGAACTCTGACTGTCCACTCAAAACTTCTATTCCAATCAAAGCTATTTGTGACTACAGACAAATTGAGGTACTTGTAAATCCCTGAAATAGACCTGTTTCTGTCTTTATTCATATATTTTAAAAAATGAGATCATATTGCTTACTAGTGGTAAAATTTTTCTGTTTCATAAAGCAAAAAAATAATTACAAGATTAAGTATGGAAAATGATTAGTTAACAATGACCTCATGTAGTTTTTCTGTTCTTCATTTAAAACCAGATAACCATTTACAAAGATGATGAATGTGTTTTGGCGAATAACTCTCATCGTGCTAAATGGAAGGTCATTAGTCCTACCGGGAATGAGGCTATGGTCCCATCCGTGTGCTTCACCGTTCCTCCCCCAAACAAAGAAGCGGTTGACCTTGCAAACAGGTTTGTAGGCATGAGCTAAAAACATAGAGTTGGTTTTGGGGGCTCTCTGAAGATTGAAGAAACAAATTGCTACTTTACCAAAGCCTCGCAGAATCAAAAGGCTCTAGAACTAATAAACATGGAATATTTCACACAGAAAAAGAACAATCGTAGTAGCACGTTTTCAGAGGGAGTAAATCTCTTTCCTTTCATGTATTTCAGAATTGAGCAACAGTATCAGAATGTCCTGAGTCTTTGGCATGAGTCTCACATAAACATGAAGAGTGTAGTGTCCTGGCATTATCTTATCAATGAAATTGATAAAATTCGAGCTAGCAATGTGGCTTCAGTAAGTATAAATCTACAGGTCAACCCAATGTGTCCAAAAATGTGTGGGGAGGAGTTAATATTTGCTCTAGAATAGGATGGAGCCCAGCAAATCCATGCTAATATTCATTCATTAAATGAATATTTGTTATATGCCTGCTGTATACTAGGTACTTTCTAAAAATTGGGGAAGTCTGGAGATCACCGATTTCTTCCAGTGCTTACTGGGAGATAGGGAGACAAGACAGTGTTTGGACATACAGAGATAGGTATAGTTGATTTCATTTATTGAATTTTGTAGACTTATTTTTCGTTATCTTTTAAAACCTGAAATTTTTAATGAAAAAACTTAATTTCAAATGGTTCTTCTATTTATCACTGTTAATGTAAATTGGCATATACCATGAGACCATATTGAGATCTGTCCCATTCAAATTTAACTCTTAGTACTATACTCTAATTACATGGATCTTTGGTCTTCTTTAGATAAAGACAATGTTACCTGGTGAACATCAGCAAGTTCTGAGTAATCTACAATCTCGTTTTGACGATTTTCTAGAAGACAGCCAGGAATCCCAAATATTTTCAGGCTCAGATATAACACAACTGGAAAAGGAGGTTAATGTGTGTAAGCAGTATTATCAAGAACTTCTTAAATCTGCAGAAAGAGGTAAAGCATGGGAATCCTTGTCTTTTTTCCCCATAGGTGTTTAGTCCAGGTTATTTTTTACTCTCAATGGAATTTCAATCTTAGGTGAATTGTGTCGCTTAGCCTATGATTTGTAGATACAATCGCTGGAACGTTAAAAGCATGTTTGAGGTAGGAAGATGCAAGAGGGATTCATTTATTTCCAAATGATGAATTAGCAAAAAGGTGCCAACCAAATAGTATGACAATGAATTCTTACTAATCTACTTTTCAGTGTTTTCACTGTTTTGTGAAACTGTTTTGTAATGTTCAGAGTGGTGATCCTTTAGTTTCAGAAAAGATTCAATTATTTTCCCATTTACCAAACTTTGATTTCGTATAGTAATTAAAGCAAAAGGTTTTGTCTGGTTTACTTTTTTCAAATATAGACTTTATCTTGAAATCTTTTGATATTAATTAGAAAGAAATTTTATTAGTAAATGTTCTATTTTTTTAAATCTTAAACATTAACACATTCTTTACCTACTTTTCCCTTCTAAGGATTTTTATTTGATTTTTATAATGAATCTGCAACTAATATAATTCATATTTTTGTGAACATAAAAGAGCAATTTATTACTTTCTTTGGACATTGTTAATCAGAAATTGGTATTTGAAATGGTATTAGAAAAATTTTATTAACGTTTCTTAAATTTTAAGATGTATGTTTTAAGGTTTGTACCTTTTGGATAGGTTTGTGATAAAAACAGGAATCATTAGTTTGACCAGCTATGTCCCAGTAATAGTAAAATTGCCATATTAAAACATGAAAAAGAACATCCAAAAGATAGAAAACAAGGTATTTGCTAAACATTATATTTCTTTTCACAGAGGAGCAAGAGGAATCAATTTATAATCTCTATATCTCTGAAGTTCGAAACATCAGACTTCGGTTAGAGAACTGTGAAGATCGATTGATTAGACAGATCCGAACTCCCCTGGAAAGAGATGATTTGCATGAAAGTGTGTTCAGAATTACAGAGCAGGAGGTGAGAGTTCTAATGTGTTGGGGAAAAAAATAAGGTAAATTATTATCTTAATGACCTTAGGCATCAACTACCGTGACCACACTGGTCACGTTGAAAGGTCTTAGGGTGTGTATTTATTGCTGATTGTAAACTAGGATTCTGTAAATCAGTTCAATCTCTGACTCAGGTAAACACAGGAACACATACCTCTCACCTGTTGTGGTGGAGGCTATAAAGGCTTCTCATAATGAAAGTCATTATATACCTGCTATATGCAAAAACACTAAGTTAGATCTTGGGGCTGAGGAGATGGGCAGTAAGGGAATTATTGATTGTAAAACTTTAATGTCATGGATTAGTCTCTCTGATAAAGAAAAAGAGTATGTAGATTTTTAAGTCAATGATCATAACATGACGTGTATTTTTTTTAAACTGTTTTAAGAAAAATGCCTCAGCTGAGGTGATTGCCTAATTCTTATGTTTGTTCTCTGTTTTATAGAAACTAAAGAAAGAACTGGAACGACTTAAAGATGATTTGGGAACAATCACAAATAAATGTGAAGAATTTTTCAGTCAAGCAGCAGCCTCTCCCTCAGTTCCTACCTTACGGTCTGAGCTCAGTGTGGTTGTTCAGAACATGAACCAAGTCTATTCTATGTCTTCCACTTACATAGATAAGTATGTAACTGCCATCTTAATATATAATTTGCTTCCTACAACTGTCATTTTTATATGCTGTTAATTAAAAAATTCATTTTTATGAATGTAAATATTCAATTTTGTTTTGTCTAGAGAAATATATTAAATTTGTTATGGATTTATGATACTTCTCTATGTTAAAAGATGATGTGCCTCAGAGATTAATGCATAATGTACTGTCCTCCCAGTAGTTTTGGTAGCTCAGCTGCTGTAGCCTACAGGATTTTCCTCTCATGCTTGGCCTAAACAAGGTCAGAAAGAAACTGTCTTGTGCTGGAATCTCTTGGTAAATACCACTTGTGGCGTAGGACATGGGATGGAGCACATGCTATCTATTAAGCAGAGAGCCAGATAAATGTTAATCTTACAGTAAATGTGTCAGTGTTCGAAGATGAAGAACATGCTATGCCTTATGTCGTAATGGTCTTTAGGATGGCACTATGTGAAATAAACATTTAATAATAGGTGGCTATTGTTTAACTCCCTCTTTCAGGTTGAAAACTGTCAATTTGGTGTTAAAAAACACTCAAGCTGCAGAAGCCCTTGTAAAACTCTATGAAACAAAACTGTGTGAAGAAGAAGCAGTTATAGCTGACAAGAATAATATTGAGAATCTAATAAGTACTTTAAAGGTATGAGTCTCACTCTTGGCTATTTTTCAAGATTATAATCTACAAGTATTTCTCTCACACTAGTTCAGATCTTCAAACATCAAGCATAAATATCTTACTTTGAAGGTATTTTTGAATGGATTTATTCCATTTCATGTCTCTGTAATTCCACAGCTTACTGTAAATAAGTATGGCTAGTCAATACAGTTTGAGGAGAGTTCTTCTTACTTGAAGTTTGAACTTTTTTGGTAGTAGCTTTTGATAGTCAGTTCATCTTGGCAGGAAGAGGAGTTGAAGCTAAAAATTAAATTATTTGTAATAGATATACTTGCTAAAAGAAGCACTTACTTTAAAATATCAAAAAAGTAAATAGAGAACTTAATCTAAGAAAGGTAAAAGACTAGTAACTACTGTATCTATATTTCTCAGTATTATTCCTCTGTATCTATATTTCTACATACAAAACACTTAGTAAAACTATTGCAAAGCAATTGTGAAAAGTTAGCTCAGTGATTTTTCATGCATATATTCATTTTTTAGCAACAGAATTAGTAGGCATTGAAAAATAGACAATGAAAAGGACTTATGTTACTGATATAACAAACTTGGCTTATGGAATGTATTTTATTTTATTGATGTGTAAATTCTATTAAGCTGAACTTCACAAAATTGTCATTTTGGAAAAATCAAAGTATAGTCAAATATTGGCAGTTTCATAAGGTTGAACCTAATATAACATCTTGTAAATGAAAGATATTCTTTCCTTTATCTGATTTCATATCAGTCATTTGTAAATAAATTGTAAAAGTAGATAAATACTATGTTTATCCAGCAAGTACTTGCCATTTTTATAACTTCTACCAATTTGTGTATTTTAGCAATGGCGATCTGAAGTAGATGAAAAGAGAGAGGTATTCCATGCATTAGAGGACGAGTTGCAGAAAGCTAAAGCCATCAGTGATGAAATGTTTAAAACGTATAAAGAACGGGACCTGGATTTTGACTGGCACAAAGAAAAAGCAGATCAATTAGTTGAAAGATGGCAAAATGTTCACGTGCAGATTGACAACAGGTTGGTGTCCTTTTTTGTTCCATTTTAGTACAGATTTAATGTCTATCTGTATGCTAGGTAAAATGTAAATTTATTAGGCTTTTTTTTTTTTTACTTTCTCAGTTAACTGTGTTAACTGTAATGGCTCTACCTAATTATATTTCTTTCTTATACAGTAGACTATAGTAAGACATTTAACTTTAAAATAAGCATTTTTC